CTCCATTTATTAAAAAAATGTTTATTTTTCTTTTTGTTTAATATAACATCATTTTTTTAGCCATAATGCTTTACTTTTCTCTTTTAAACGTCAATTATCTAAAAGAAATATAACAAGAGTTTAACTCTCGGGCGCCTCGGGTGCCGGGGTATTGCTCTTAAGAAAATTGTGAAATGGGCATTAAAAAGAGTTGCCTCCTTTCCCACAAGTGGCATCAATGAAAATCGTTTGGTCCTAATGCCGAGAACAGTACTCAGTGGAGAAATAGTCTTACTCAATAATCACTTAAAAGTTTCTGTGGTGATTGCTGTATCTCGTTTTTACTTGATTAAATTCGAATTCATTCATTGATAGAAGAATACATATTTTTATTTTTTCAAAGAAAATTTCCCGATCAAACTCTGTATAGTTTTCAGAACATATGTTAGTTTGAAGTTAAAGTTTTGAGTCTGTAAGCACAGTTAGGTCAGACGAAGATACGTCAAAACTAAAGTCAACTTTTTACCAAACACTTCATGACTCATGTATTTTGCTTCATTTACAAATTAAATCTTAACGAGATACAATATAATAAAGAATGGAAGTTATTATAACATAACCAGTAGAGGACTACATAGTCACCTTCATCAGACAAATGACCAGTGTGGAGCGTAGTAGCACTGACGTGCATATTGTACGAGATAGTAAGGAAACAAGAAACTGGCTGCTTTCAGAAAAATATAGATCAAATGAAACCGATGTTAATGATTCTCCATTCGCCGACAGCAATAGAATGATTATGATCAAAGGTAGGACTTATGTAAACTTACTTGGCTTGAAAAATGATGAGAGAGTTATTGGGTATATTGTCGGTATCGGATCATTGTCCGATATCCATACTGTGCATTTCCACTGTCAGACATTCCTTTACCGTGATGTTGATATTCATACCGGGGTCACATACATTGTGCGAAACTGTAGAAATAAAGGCAGTCAATCCCGGAAGTTGTTATCTTTACGAACATGCTGAAGTTGGCACATAGCCATCTACAATATCAAAGAACGAACAACACAAAGAAGTATGCTAACCATTCACTGTAAAGCATAACAACTAACAGAACATATTGGTAAGTATAGCAACCTTTCACGGGGAATAGCATACTTATGTGCGAGCCCAAAAGGAAGATTAATTCCCCCATCTCCCTTAAATGGGGGGATCTGGCAGTTTCATATTATATATAATTCATATCATATAAGCGGTTTGTATGAATGTTTAGCTGTATGAACTTAATGAAGTGATATTCACTTACATATTACATGTTCACGGTGTTTGTATTGTTATTATACTAAGTATGTTTGGATATACGTACATCCATTGGCATTGTGACAGTCATTACAACCGACAGTGTCATCGGTCGTAATATCATATAAAATGTCACCTTCTTCCAAATTCTCTCAGGCCATCAAATTCGAGTCAATCGTAATGCAGTCCTCTAAGGGAATGTCAGTCAAAGTTCTCTGTAAGTCACTCAGCGGCATGTTTCTTTATCTACTGCGACACTTTCGCCGCACATAAAACAGTACACAATTCCATGGCGAGTCTTAAATCTATTAAGGAATCCATTGGGACATTTGAATACAGTTTACCTTATTTTTCAGCAAAGTCCTCTGCTTTGGCCATAAGGATTGGACCTGGAATGTTGGGCTCTCGTGCAGATGTAAACCATTTGAATAAGGCATTTTCAATATCTTCATGGATACCGGATCTAAACCTTTTACGTTCCGGAGAAATATTTCCTGTTTGACTGGCTTCCAAAATTACATCATGATTCTAAGAAATTTATGTGTGTGTACTCGGGTTAATTCCGAAATCTTTTGAAATCTCACTCTCAGCTTTTTCCTTTCGATCAACAGGTCGAATCCGTTCATAGTTTTCGTCGATCGTTAGTTGTTTATGGTTTTTACTGCAGGAACTCATTACAACTGCGGTTGTGATTTCTATTCTTATGTTGACTGACTTATCTGTGTGTCCGAATAGCAAACACAACTCACTGATTAATACTCACAATTTATTTATGTTCTATCAGACTTTTACCTGGCTATTGACATCGTTAAGTAGATTCATTCTAAGGATATTTTCACTGCACGGTAACGTTAAGCCAAATCAGTTACAGAACCTGTTCGCGATATTATTGTCCAAGAAATTTAGGTTACATGTTAACAACGAAACAATTTGCTTTTAATTCTACTAGTAATTCAGTTGGTCCCTAGATATGTCGTTGAATAAAAACATAAATCAATTTTGATAGTCATCTATCTTTCCCTGCAAAATACGCAAAACTTTTGACTATCTTTCGAAAAATATATATATATTTTACTTAAATGGATATAGAATGTGTATTCCTTACCATCCAATATAGTAATCTGGAATTTTACAGCTAATTGCTTGATATTGCCCGAAATAGAGCTTAATCTCTAATATATCTTAGGATATAATTCTTAAAGATTTTCTTCCGTTACAACCTAATTTTCAATTCATTACATGAAGTTAGCTCTCCCGATGAAAATAATTTCGTTTTAGTGCACCGATTACTCATAAACCTCTAGCTGATTATCTTATTCCCCTAACGTTGACTAGTTTTTTCGAGTTATTCTTTATACTTGTACAGAAAACAACAAGAAAATACCAACTTGTCAACATAATCATAACCCAAACACTATTTGACAAAACTGGGGCAAATATGAACAAAATATACATGGAGACTCCTGACAATGTAAAAGGAGAATAAGTCAAAGTGTTCCAGAAGAGTAACCTTCTTCTGCTTCATCGACGACACCTGTCATATAAAGCATGGTCAATCCGAGTAAGTAATGTCACGTTCTCAAATGAGAACAAGATATACAACAACGGAGCCAACAGACAAACTAACATGCATCAAACACGTCCAGCTTCATATCATACAAAGAAATAGAATATTTCGCAATGAGATCACTATGACGACCATAACAATTCACCATAATTTTACGGGCTCGTCTCTCAGTTCACGACTTCTTGCACGAAAATCATAAGAATAGGAACATACCCTTGAATATCGAATCAACTGCGACATGTAAATACCGTCGGTATAGGATGCAGGAATGTTGCTATCCAGAAATGGAAGCTCGGGGCCGGATACTATGTTTCCCTGATACAGGTGAAAACATAAAAATATATTTAATAGAAAATTGGAAAACGTCCATCATGCAAAATGATGTATATCAAAAAATTCTTTATGAGTTTATTCCATCTACAACGTTTATTTTATTCGGTTAACATACCAATGAAATCATGAGTACATTTATATCAATTCTTAGTCGTAGTTGGCCGATGAGACGGTATTATTACATTCATATTTATAGAATATGTATTAAAAACAGAAGGTGGAGAAGATACGATAAGCTGGATTAGTTTTTGTAGTGTCGAATGTGGGATCATTCGTTTACTTCCAATTTGATCAATCAAAATGTGCAATATTTTAGATAGAAAAAATTATCTATTTTTAGCACTCCATCGTCAGATGGTTCGCAATTCAAACAGCTGTTCGTTTATTTTCCTGTAAATCGCTACTTGCTATGAACTACGGAATGGCGTTTGAAAATATTGGGTCAAAAGCCTCCTTGGGGAAAGAAAATGAATTTTATATAAACGGTGTATTGAAAGAGGGATTAAAAAGTGAAATTGAGCCCTTATTAAGCATCCTTCTATATGAATGATTGCATTTTGTGCATTGTGTGAAACTTTCTCAGGTAAAGTGACTTAATTCTGTGTATAAGGTGGATCTCAGACCTCTCGTTCGGGAGTAATAGGCCCAGTAGGGAAATACAGGCCCTGTTAACCTCTTGTTTAAACTGTTAACTCCAATAGACAGACGTGTTATCGTGAACACGTGTACAATAAGCATTAAGTCTTTATCAGCTAGCCTCGAATAAAAAAATGTAATGATTGTGACAGTACTCATACATAGAAATTAACACGATCTTGTATCTAAATAGGAGAGTTATGCAATACTGTTTTGTAATACTATTTAAAAAATTACTCGCATAGACATCTATATAAGCTTTTCACTACCCAAAAGATTTCCCATTTTTCTTATTGCTTTGAACTGCGCTAATTTCTATTAGGTCTTTATACCGTCATTATATGGCTATGACGTCTCTGTCCTTGGTGATTAATCAAGGAAACTCTCTACGCTTGTTACCCAGTAGCAAAATAATGACATCAACATTTTCACGACCATCCCGAAATCAGCTAGGTCATGGACAAGCGCAATGGGGTGTATCAAGATATATGGAAAAACCAATGTGATATGATTATACCATGACAAGGCAGGATGCAACGCCTAACACAACCCTGAAATACTAGTAGACTAGCACCGGTATCCATATCGACGAAATCTTAAAACGTATTTTCGCTTCAAAGTCTAACAGAGAAGACTAACAATAAAAAGAAGTGCTTTCCACCTTTTAATTTTTAAAGTTCAGGGAGATTTTCTTAATGGATGTAATGATTATGAAAGCTATATATTAACGCAATAGTTGTTTAAACTAGACATGCGAAACATAATAAACCGCACTTGTCCCGAAGATAACTTTATTCTATGAAACAGGTTAGTGATAAGCAGGAAGACAGTGTTGATACTGTCGATGTGTTTCTTATATATAGATGGGAATTGGTGACCACGTTCAAAAATATTTTACATGACTGCCTTTGGGGTAATCTTAATTGAGTTAATGCAAACGAAAAAGATCATGTGTGTATCAGGTATTCCAGAATAACTCAACAGCAAGTATTGTTTTGTAGCAATATGAAAAAAACATGTATACGTACACAGTCTTGGTTTACAATATAACACATATGTTGTCATTGAATTTACAAATTTCAAAATGAGATTACGATCTGGTGTTAGATTAATATACAGATTTCAATGTCCAATTAGTTTTGTTACTAACCATTGTTCCTCGACACAACATTCAAAAGTGTTTCACGGTTTTGACACATTCGTCTCGCATACAGACGTTTGTGAAGCGTTACCCAATTTGAAGCGTTTTAGCAACTGCTTCCAAAATATTTTTTTAGCATTGATAACTTGCTGTCGATATGTGTTATTTTCATTTGGCCATTTTAAAGGACATATGACGTCCCAGTTCTTGCGAATGAGTATTGGAAACTCGCTACGCTTGATGTCGTCCAACCGAATAATAATATTCATATCTTCATGCCCCTTCCGGAATGAATAATAGCTAGCTATTCCCATTGCAAACATTGGCCATTTATGTTCTAAAAACTTGTAGCTGACAACAAAAACAGTTTGACGTGAATTATCTATTGCATTCATTATGTTGTCGGCGAGGTCTAGGCAAAGGTCAAAATCCTTATCATCACAGCAAAATGTAATTCCTTTCTTCTCTAACCATGGCACTAGGAGTTTTCTTACCCACCTAGCATCTTCGTTACCGTAGCATATGTACATGTCATAGTCACATGTTTTATGGACTAAAGGTTCTCGACACCACGTTCGTAACAATACGCTTTGCTTCCAGGCCACTCGAGAGAGAAAAGCAACCAAGATACCAAGCAAGGCAAGAGAAACGGAGATTAATAACCAGAACTGAGCGACACAACTGTCCCGGAATTCGTCAACAGATTCAAGGAACTCCGATATCCTGATTTTATCTCCTTCATTTGTGCTGCATGAAATGCTTTTCCTGTTGTGAACCAACTTGGTTTTGTGAAACCAGACAAGAAACTCTAAATTGTCACAACTGCAGACTAAAGGATTATCTGCTAGTTCGATTATAAAATTTTCTGATTTAGATACGTATGTATCAAGGAATGAACGTTCTCTTTCTGATAAGGTAGATATATGATTGTTGCGCACATCAAGAGTTTTTAATGCATTCAGATTCTTCAGACTTTCTAGAGGGAGATGATCCAAATCATTTCCATTTAGAACTAGAGTTTCCAACGAATACGATTGATCTATAAACGTATTTGAGTTGAAGGACGTAATATCGTTTAAAGTCAGATCAATAAATGAAAGATTGTACAATCCTTTGAATAATGATGTCTTATTCGACCTTAGTCTTTTTCCGAGATTACATTCTTTAGCCTCAAGACGTGATAAGTTTCGCATATCAGCAAACATCTGGTCATTTGGATGTGAGCACTCGATACCAGATACATAAAATTCAGTTAAGTTAACAAGACCTTTGATACGTCCTTCTGAACATTTGAACCCAGCAAAAGGATAACTGATGTCTAACACATTCAAATTGTTGCTTTTCGAAACCCAAATATTTCCAATATCACCCCCGAAAGGATTATGAGACAATTCTAAATGCAGCAAACTGCTAGGGATAAAAAAGGTCTGCTCTCTATGCATTAATTGGCGACGTTTCCTTGAAATAGAACTGGCTTCGTACGAAGCATACACATGAGTTATAGACGGAAACAACACTAGAAGAGTGAGCAGTTGCCCTGATATAATGGCATTGGTTGAAATATTCAAAACTTCCAGACAACTCCTACTTTTCCAAGCTAACACTGCTTCCATTGTTATTCCTGAAATTAAGTTGTGGGCTAGGTTTAATTTCCTCACACAAATTGTTCCTAGAAAAACTATATCTGATTTCTCCAGGAACCCATTTACAGTATAGCGGTAATGATTTGACGTGAGCTTAATTGATTCCATTTTTCGTTCTCGTAGACCTTCGAGAGCCAACAAAACCTCATGAATAGACACGGTTCTTTTGGAATCCAGTTCAAGCGATACAAGTCTGTGAAATGGTGATAAAGATCCGGCCTCAATCTTCTTCATTTCAAAATGTAATTGGAGATGTGAAATGTTAGACATCTTAAGTCCTTCGAATGAAGTGTTTCGAATTGACACCCGTTTTCCTTCTTTGTTATTGACATGTAAATTTTTCAGTTTGGTTAAATTAAGAAATCCCATTCCAAATACAAATCCCTCAAATATATCTATGCTTAAAGTGTTGAGAGATTTGATACTAGATATCGCATTTTCAGGATATGTACCTTTTAAATGAAACATATTACTATGCAAGTAGAGAACTGTAAGTTTATGAAGATGCTTGAAAACTGAAGAATCAAATGATGAAGGCTCGAAATAGTTCTCAGATAGATCTAGATATTCAAGGTTCTCGATAGTGGCAAATGCTCCAGGTGAAATACTATGCATTCCATTGTTGGCGAGTACTAGAGTTTCGAGGTTGGATAGATGGGTAATTGAATTGTTGTCCAACTTTTCAATATTGTTGTTTTTAAGATTGAGTACAGTCGTGGTGATTGGCAGGTCCTGAGGTACGTCTTTCAGCAGACATCCTGAACAGAAGACATGGCTCTCCCACTCCATTCTGGTAATATGGCAACAGTCCGTCACAGAATCTATTTTTAATGAAATATGATTATATACAATATTTAATATATATAATTAAAATACATGACAATGTAAATTCGTAACTGATTAACCACTTTAATTACTTTGGATTTAAACTTTGAAATATATCACAGGTCGAGGAATGGAATCATATTGCGTCATATGATATGGATTACTTAATATATACACTTGAATGTTAAGAAATTATTGTGAAGAAACATCATTACCACAAGGCCTGCATATCTTAATGATATACAGCGTGATGTTTTCCAATATTAATAGACTTCTTCGACCACTTTGAACAGTCTCATAGAACCTTGAGTACATCTCCTTTCCGAAAGTTAACACTTCATTTCATTTTTTTTACATTATGGATGCTATTGAAACTCAAATATGAGTTTCCAAATATATCACATATCATGATTTGTGAAAAACATCATGCCGTCGCCTGTCGAGATTCTGGCTCACTCTAACTATAAACAGTTGTCGTTAGGAGTCCAAGGGGCATGGCTCTATCAATTTGTTGATTTAACTCTACTATACAGAATCTTAAATCTTATTAGAATATGCTATTTACTTAGGTTGTAGTAGGAAACAGTTAATTGCATTGTTCCTGAAATTATTGGTCATGTTTGAGATATACAGGTATAGTAGATTGTCATGTTAACAAACTACTTATATTTCAGGAAATTCCAACTAGGAACGGCTTAGCTGCATGACCACGTGTAAACATTGTGGAAATTTAACTTCCTGTTAAACTAGCCCTTGCTGTGAAATACATATTTGAGACTACCCAAATTGTTATCTACACCATAATGCTAAAATATTATTCCGAAAATTTTGAAAACCCCACATTGTCCACTGTAACATTACAAGAACAACTTCAGCACGGATTTATTATGTAAATATTAATTAAGTTATAATGGGGACATCTAATGAACAAAATATCACCCATGGCCATACCAAGAGACTATGTGCTACTACCAGTGCTATTTGAACACATTTTGATTTTACAGGTAGACATTGTCTGTGGACTAATCAATCCTGCATGATTTAAATCGGATGGTGGGGCACATCAGAATATACACATTTTCTTAACATGATTTAAAATCATTCAATATTTAAGGTAAATGCAAACTCCGCCCTTAATCTGTTAAACCAATCCACCATGGAACATACATGAATATTAAAACCAAATAACACTGTTTTAAAACCAAAACAGAAAAAACAGGGCATCATAATTTTAGGAAAATCCGTTTTATCATTTCATGCCCTGTATCTGACTCCACACATTGCAAACAATTGGCCGAATTCGTAGCATGTAGCTGATAAATGGTGTCCATGTACAGCATCTAATCAAATTTATATCGTCATAACATTAATGTGTAGGTAACTGCTTTGTCAGACACAATGAATAGATTTCAGATATAGCCATCAATAAAATAAACAAAGTACGGATCATGTAGATCAGGAACACGGTCACCAGCCATATAAAAACAGCGACCGGGTTGTTTAAAGGGGACAGTAATCATAAAGGGGAGTTAAAGTGACATCTCGAAAGACAATACCTCTGTCCTCGAAACATATATTCAACGAAGTATATAATTCAATAGTAAAATATCATTACCTGAGTATCGAAATGTAGAGAAAAAGCACACAATCATCACATTTACTTTAGGCTCCATGTTGTTGTGTCTACTATCATTCAGGAAGTAAGGCAGTATATATCATGTATGACATATACTGTATCTCTTAATCTGTAAAACAAGAAAACTGTGTAGCGGTGTAACAAACGCTACCCGTGCTTGTGTGTCTGAAATATCATAGGTTTACCTGTTGACATGATATGTGTTTGACTGACTGTGACGAAGCGATAATTACAATTTTTTTTAAACTTTTTTGTCGAGATAAGGCCGAAGCAATTGAGAGTTTAACTTAAACACTATCAAAATTAAATTATATGTAAATATTCTTAGTTCAGGACTGCAATGGTATCAGTGTGACTTACATTCTTACATCCAATCTATTTCAGCATGACTGGTCAGAACCACAAGCACAGATGAGATCTTGTAAGCAACAATATTTGACCAGAATCATAAAATTCAAACTCAAATTCAATAACACCATAGCGCATCTTAACCTACTGAACGATTAACACGAACACTTCCGAAGAGGTACGACACATGTGTTAGTTTCCTAGTAGTTGTATATGTATAAAGTTTAAGAAAGCAAAGATGACTAAGCGAATATCAACATGTTTCAATATCCAAGTAGTTTTGTAAATACTCATTGTTCCCAGATTTAAAACACGTAAAAGTTTTTTTGGGTTTTTTTTTACACAATCGACTCGCATATAGATGTGTGGGAAGCATTCTCTGGTTGCAAGCGTTTTAATATTCGTTTTCCAAATAATTTGCTGTTTGTACTATTTTCATTTGACCATTGCAAAGGACGCTTGACGTCATAGTACTTGCAAAGTAGACTCGCTACACTTGATATCGTTCAGCAGAATTATGACATGCATATCTTCCCATAATGAATAATAGATGACTTTTTCATTGTAGGCGTAATGATGGTCATTAGTTTGTATGTTGGTTCCGATGTTGTATACCTTTTTCTCATTTGAGAACGTGACCTTACATTAGATTGACCAAGGTTTACGTGGTGGGTGTCGTTGATTAGTGAGAAGACGCTTACTCTCCGGAACATCATGCTTTATTTTCCTTGTACTTTTTCAGGTGTCTACGTGTAAATCTGAGTCTCGATTATGATGATGTTGGTGATTTTTTTCCTCTCTGTGTTTCGAATAACAGCACACATCTGGTCATTTTGATTTGAGCACTTGATATCAGGTACATAGAATTCTTGTAGATAGACAACACCTTAAAAATACACTGAGCATGCAAACTGCCGAGATTAAGTAACATCGTATAATCGTACATTTAAAAAATTGTTTTAATTTAAATAAGTGGTCTTCGTTCTTTTGTCTATCAGGTACTAAAGGGAGGTTAAATAAAGCAGGAAGTATGGTATGAAGTTGTCAGAATCAGGGAAATTGTTGATCATATGTATTCACTTAAATATCTTGATTGTAAAGGAGTACAGTAAAATGTAAAACCAGTGTGATATGATTATACCATGACAAGGCAGGATGCAACGCCGAACACAACCCTGAAATACTAGTAGACTAGCACCGGTATCCATATCGACGAAAAACGTATTCTCGCTTGAAAGTCTGACAGATAAGACTAACAAACAAAAGAAGTGATTTCTACCTTTTAATTTTTAAAGTTCAGGGAGATTTTTTTTAATTGATGCTATCATTATGAAAGCTATATTTTAACGCAATAGCTGTTTAAGCTAGACATGCGAAACATAATAAACCGCACTTGTCACGAAGATAACTTTATTCTATGAAACAGGTTAGTGATAAGCAGGAAGACAACGTAAATTCGTAACTGATTAAAAAGGATTAACCACTTTAATTATTTTGGATTTAAACTTTGAAATATATCAATGGAATGGAATCATGTTGCGTTTTATTATATTAATCACTTAATATATACTTCAACTTGTTTAGAAATATTTGTGAAGAGACATCATTACCACAAGGTCTGCATATCTCTATTTTGAAATACTAAGAATGGTATACACCATATGTTTTCCAATATTAATAGACATCTTAGAACCTTGAGTACATCTCCTTTCCGAAATTTAACACTTCATTTCAGTTTGTTTTAACCGCTTAAGTACAATATTGCCTCCGAGATCAGCTTCAGACCTACACATCATGGATCCTATGAAACTCAAATAGGAATTTACATCGATACTAGGAAAATCCAGAGCCCTAAGTAGTAAGAAAATTATACAAATCACAATCACAATACCATTTGAGTACCCTCAACTTTTCAAATTTGTACAAAAATAGCAAAACACATAAGTTACCATTTGAGTACCCACAAATTTTCATGCTAAAATTTTTATTTAGATAATTATCGTTTCATCATATAAATTTAGTGTTTTTGAATTAATGGACATACCAAGATTTTGGAACTTCTTTGTGTCTACTTCCTATTTTTTCTGATTATCAAAGCACTGAAAGTACATGGTCAATCGTACAACAATACTATCTTAACAAGTGTATGATTAATCGCTCTCCAGTTTTGACATGATTTTATACATTGGACCTAGATGTGCATATTTCAATATGTGACAATGAAAATGACGATCAGGTCTGCAATGCAAAATGTAATGATGAAGGCAAAACAATGACAAAACTCCGTCAAATATCTTAGTGTAGATAATGCTTCCTATGCCCCAGTTTCACATCGAATGTGTAGTATATGTTGAAAATACGAAAAGACATATACAGGATAACAAAGCCAGCTAGAAACCAGTTATTGCTTTGGCATTATATCTGATGTTCTAAAGAAGCGAGGGTATGCTTCAAGCATATGGTTGTAAATGATTTGAATCCTGATGTCACAATGTCTGTCTCCAATAGGGATTAATTAACATGCCATATGAATGACAAATCTAAAGACATAATCAATGATCTTTTGGAGATGATTTGCGAGATGGCATTTCATCTCTTCTATTTGGCCACAAATGCATAGACAATGACGTTATGATAGTATGGACAGAGTGGAGCAACGATCAGTTCCGGAAGATTCGTGATACTATTGTCAATTGTCCAGATATATCCCATATACAAGGCATATCAACTCAGAATCCATTGTAAATGTTTTAGACAAAATTAAAAACAGACATTTTTTTTACCCAGATGGCTTCTTTGTTTAATATTCACAAGTCAACTGTAAGCAGAATATTCCAAATCATGTGTAAGTTTCAGGAGTCCACATTCGTCAAGGGAACAAGCTCTAAGCCATAATACTGTTTTTAAACAGTTTTTGGTGACAACGTGACACTCATTCTTGATGGTACTTACATATCTATTGATAAAAGTGATGATCAAACTATACAGAAAAAACCGCTATTGTGGTCAGGAAAAAAAGGAATTATGTCATATTCATGAGAGTATGGTTATTACTTATGTATGTAAATTAGACACTGTCGGTCCCTTTTTGGGATCAGAAAATTAAAATATAATAGACAAGAAACTAAAATGTGTTGATAATTTGAAGATTCTTTTAATTAATGCTGATTACATAACAGTTGGTCGTGGTTTCCGAATTTTTTTAAACTGACAGATTATGGATATAAGCATTTCGTGCCTTCATTTTTAAAGCCAGGAGAAAGTCAACACGATAGCGCGACAACAAACGCTGACAGATGTATCACTAAATCACGATGGGTTGCTGAATCTTACCATTCTAGATTCAAACACTTCAGATTTTTTCAAACTGAGTTGACATCAAACTTTTTTCTATCTAACACCAGCAATTTACTTAAATTGTTTCAGCAGCAATTCACTCCATATACTCCCCGTCTGATTCCAAGAATTTTAAGAAACTTTCAATAGTAAAATGAAGCTTTTACTAAATACAGAAAATGATTTAGCAAAAGGTGTACAAATCGAGTTTGAACTGTATAAGAGGTCGCAGGCAATCTGGACAAAATTTGAAGAATCCCCTTGGATTCCCTGTGTTAGATTGTGTAGCAAACACCAAGCTATCTTTCCGAACACCTGAGTGAAGCAGTAGCCGTTGAAATCATTATTTATCGACTATACGGTGTCAAATCAGTTCGAGACATACATTGGTTTTCTCAAGTAGCATTGGCAATGAAGTTACAAATATGTGCATAATGTAGCGAAAAGACCCTTTTGTGTCACTTACATGTCGTTTGGGTGCTTAATGATCAGATACAGAGCAAAACAGGAAGTCTCTCCACTGTCTTTTGAGGACTTAGATATTTAGTACTTTCAGTAATTTTATATTAAGTGCAAGTTTTATGGAGGGTGGGGGTGGTGGTTTGGTACAATAAAAGTTTTTAAAAGAATGCCATGTCCAGTTATATTTATCATTTCGACAATTATATAAGAGAGAGATATAACCCTCAAGTTATTTCTAAATGTCAATATTTTAGGGAACATTTCATTTCAGAAATTTTGTCTAAAGTTCTTGATAGACAAATTAAATTGAACATCAGTAAAACCTATGAAAGCCCTCTCCATAAAGTTATATACAAGTGTATGACACATGAATAAGATGAAAGGTATTAAAATTACATAAATCAAATAAGCACATGACAGACTATTTCAAATTCACGCAAAAAGAAAAAAGAAAACACTGCCGTCATTTATCATATTACATATTTTAGAGGAAATAACGCCAACAATGCAGCTGTCCCGGGGTTAGGTCCAGCTGTGTTTAAGGATGAAGAAAGACACTAACTGTCCATACATATACAGTTCTGTGCTTAATAAACAAGGATGGAGAGTGGATCCAAACCTTCATGTCGGCCGCATTTAATAAGGAAATGACTATTTAGTATATTAATATATTTTATTACCTGCCAAATATCTATCCTATGATTGTTACGGTTTATATATACCGTAATCATAATTATTTTTATGGTTACTACAGCACCTTCAGTATTGGTAGCACCTTCGCTGCTTGGTAGCACCTTCACGGTAGGCCTAGTTCCTCATATAAGGAATTGCACCTTCACTATGACCTGCACAATTGAAATATGTAAATTTCTGGGGATGAGCCTATTAAAT